AAATTAGTTTTTGTTGTCCAAACTTAATTGATTTGCTTAGTGTGGAACATTATATTGAAACTGTGTCTGTTCCTCGTTTAGTGACGCCTGTGGAGAGACTACTCTGCCTGTGAGCTGCTGGATCGGGGGTCAGCGCATGAAACATCGTATGCTGATGCTCACAAGTCAGTGGTTAGTTACTCTTTGACTCTGACTGTCTACTCCATGCGTTTCTCTGCCCAGGAGGACGCGATCATCTCTGGCTTCATTCAGTCCGGCACCGACACAACACCATGGATCACACAGCGTAAGACACGAGCCAGGACCAGAGCTAGAACCTCTCCGCCGCCCCTCCCGGTCTTGGAGATCTCGACCCGGAACCGCTTCTCCCCTCTTTGCGAGTCGGAACGCGACGCCACCGTGATCATGGGCACATCCATGGTCCGTCATGTCCGTGCTACCTCAGGTAAGGATAAGGTGCGCACTCACTGCTTTCCTGGTGCTCATGTTCTTGATGTTGCTGCACAGGTTCCTGAGATCCTGAACGGTGATGAGTGCGTCGGAGCTGTTGTGCTGAACGTGGGAGCGAACGACATCAGGCTGAGGTTCTGAAGGACTACAGGAGCCTGGTCAAGACTGTACGCAACACATCGCCTGACGCAACGATCATCGTGTCTGAACCGCTTCCCTCTTACAGAAAAGGACAGGAAAGGTTCAGTAGATTATTTGCACTAATTGAATTATTAATGTCATTGTGTAATGAACAGAAACTGCTCTTTGTAAATAATTGGAATCTGTTCTGGGAGAGACCTAGGCTCTATTATGCTTCACCTCAGCAGAATCGGAGCGGCTGTTCTGTCGGACAACATCTCCAAGACGTTACACACCTAATGACTTGAAAGTCAAAGTCGCTCCTTTGAAAGGAATGTTTCTCCTGGTTCCATCTCTTGGACTGATGTCTCTGCCTGTAAGGCTATCTTTTGCAATCCTAATATACGAGAATCACCCCATGTATATGGTTGTATAAAAGTCATGCTGGATTTTTCCTGGGCTTTTGCTGCCATAGCTTAGCCTCTTTGGAATAGACTTATTAGACTTTCAATCACCCTTCAACTTATTTGTTAAGTGCACATCTAACCCGTTTTGGGTGTTAAATAATCTTTTCTAGATTAGTATCTTTTTTTCGACTAAGTTTGTCTAGTCGTCTTCTATTTGGTGATGTATTCTTTTTTTTTTCTTCCAAAAAAAGAAAATAAATTTTTAATCCTTATGCATATCCACGCACATGCTATTTAGAAGGCACTTAACTGTTCAATTACTGGCCAGAATTGAACAGTTAAAGCCCCACGTTGGGCGCCATGTTTTACGGTGTGTGTGCACTTTAATTTTAACACCTTTAACATTATTATTTTTTATCCTCAGGTTAGGTCGAGTAAGTCAAATCTGCCCTAAATCATAAGCATTCGAATGGTATTTACAATTTGTTCAGATGACTTCTCTGTGGTCAGTTCTTGCTTAACCCTTGTGCATCAATTAAAAAAAGTTACACATAGGTAAAAAGAGGACACATGTCCATGTCAAACTGTCATAAAAATGTGATACTTTGGAGCACAGACTTAAGTTTGGTATCATTTTAAAGAAGACCCTTTGCAGATTATTGCTAAAGTAAAAAATAATAAGTAAATCCAAAAAAAAGTTATAGGTATAAGTTTATGAAAATTATTTATAAAATAATATTTTATATAAAATATATATTTTTTTTAAATCAGGTTGAACTCAAAACTACAATAAAATCAAAGCCATAAATCTAAATAGGTTGTGTTCCAAATTTGAGGATGATATCTCAAAAAATGAGTTTTCGGTAACAGTTTGTTTGGGCGTAGTAACATTTTCCCCATTGGGTCCCAGCAAAACCCCACTGGAGCTCACAGTGATTGGATTTGAATTTGCAGTTTTTCTCTCTCAGTCTGAAAAACACACACATGCGCACACACACATATTTTTTTATAACACACATACTAACCACACTCTGACATCCATACCAACACACCCACACAAATATCGTTGCATAATTTATCCAGTTGGCTCTATAGTATGCCGAACCAGAAAACAGGAATAAAGCGACATTTGTTTTATAGGCCAAACTTTAAAAAAATGACACCATCTGATAAAAAATAGTAAAAAATAAAATTTTTAAGCCTTGCCATCAGAATGAAAGCCTCTTAACAAAGATTGCATAATTTTATAGTTAACTGAACCGGGGATTAAAAATGGCAGTTTTAATGGGTTTCAATGGGGACATTTTTGTCCAAAAGGTGCTGAGAGGGAGTATTTTTTTGTACCTAATGCAAAAAATATTTTTTTAAGAAAATGACTGTGAAATAGTAAAATTCCAATAAAAATACACACCTGTGCCAAGTTTTTTGCAGTTAGCTTTAACACAGGCAAAGTGATCAAAAAAACAAAACTGAAAAGGACAAAATTGTCCACAAGGATGCACAAGGGTTAAGGATTATTAACGACACTGCTAGACAATTGCTTGTAATTAACATTAGTTATTTATTAATGTAAATATTCCAGAAATAAAAGTTAGGCTCAAACTTAAATTCTTTATGCTCAAACTCTGGAATATCCTTCCCGATATGGTTTGACGCTCTGACTTGCTGTCAAAGTTTAAAACTAGACTAAAGACGCATCTCTTTAGCCAAGCATTCACATACTGCTTACCTTTTATTCCTCTGTTGAATCAGATCGAATGCTTTTAATACTTTAAAACTTGAAGAGTCTGTAGGTTACTTGTATAGGTTGCATAGTATTTACAGTCATTACTTTTCCTGTGTGTATTGCGTGAATGATGGGTGGTTGGGCAGATATTGTGCTATTGCGGTAGGTGGTATGCCATACGGAACTGTTGCCAATGAAACGCATAACCGCGACAGTGGGGCTCGACAGCCTTAGTCAAACGGGTTGGCACGTATGGTTGGGTTGTGGAGAGTTTGTGAGTGTGTTTTTTAACATCTACTCTTGTGTAATGGAAATCATTATGAACATCAGCTATGCTAATTATTTCCCATCTGTTTTCTGCTGTTATCTCGGGACGCTTGTCCCGAGAAAAATGGCGTTCATCAGCTCCAGTTTGTATCCAGCCTCTCATGGAGACTTCAGATGCCCCAACACCTGCAATGAGAAGACTAAATGCCTGTGAAGAGATGACTCAACACCTGTGAAAGATGACTCGACGCCTGTGGAAAGACGACTCAATGCTGGCGATATGTTATGCCCTTAATATTACATGATTATCTAAATGTAATTTTCCATGTACTTTTCTGTAATGCACTTTCTGTAAAGCTGCTTTGAAACAAGTATTGTGAAAGGACTATACAAACAAACTTGAATTCACTTGCAGGGCCAACAGACACAGAGCTTACAGCGGGGGAGCTTCACTGCAAAGCAGACAGGTGAGCATACAGGTACGTAATCCTCTTCTTTAAGTGACAGACAGAGAACTTACGGCTGGAGGTTTCACTGCAAAGCAGTCAGTTAAGCGTTCACTACGTGTCTCTCTTCACAGTGGGCTGCCAGATAAATACACTCAATGGTCTGTGAAGTACAACAATCTTAGCCTCTTCTTATGCAGTCAGAATGTGATGGGAAAACTCCGGTAAGAAGTGGACATCCAGGGGTTTAGGTTCATGCTTCACACAGCAAACAGTGCATCACATCCCTTCATCTCAACAATTCAGCACTCAGTGGGAAACATTCATATATATGGCCGTTGCCCTTCTTCTGAACTGGCATTCACATCAAGAGGTCCCACAGACACGAGAGGAGGATGGAAATTGATTTGGACTACTCATGATCTCTCACAAATGATCTTCGGTCCCATGGTTACCTCCTTATTGAATCAGCCTGCTCTTTCTCCCAACTCACAGCACCGTGCCCGTTCGCCGGCCCCACTTCCTCTTCACCACGGCTCATACTTTCTCTGAGAGCACTTCTCCCAAAACAATGCCCCTTTTGGTCTGTACTTCCTCCTTTTATACTCCTGTAATTGCAACGTGTCCCAATCGCGAAGTTTTACTCCCCATGCACAGCTGCCAGCGACGTTTGGCTGATCACCCCATTTTCGGGGATTTTTGCACTACCCTGGAACTAGCCCGGTGTTCCTTTTTTTGGGTCCGGCGGGAGGCAATCACGGCGAACATTGTGTAATGAATAGTCCACCCTCAAGATGGCGCCATTGCCTCACAAATCAACCAGCTGGGCTCACACAGCTCAGTTGCGGCTGCAAGCCATGTGTTTCTAGTGCACGTTGTGTGTGTGGAAAGCTTTGGTCATTGTGTTTCCCAACACATAACTAAATACACGTTTAAACAAACTATTCTTATATATCCTTAAAATGGATAGTATTTTCTGCCTGCACTTGAGACTGCCCAGTTCATGTGTTCAGGAGATGTGTGTTTTCCCCCCAATTTCAGGGGGCTCCTTGTGGGTGAAAGTTTAGCACAGTGTACACCACACTATGTTTGCCCAGTTCACGCAGTGTTTGCCCAACACAAAACACACAAAAAACAAATAATAACGAATCTAACAAATTCGTTTCGGAGGGAAAACCTCTTTCCGCAGAGAGAACCTTTCTCACTGCAGAGAGAGGAAACCCTTCCGAACCCCCGAATGTCGCCTCTAGTGTGCCCACGAGATGGCGCCATTGCATCACAAATAATTCTGTTGGTCTCAAGACACAGCTTAACTCTAAGCTTACACAGCTTAACTAAGTGTTCACAGCTTAACTCTTAACTCTAGTGTGCCCACGAGATGGCGCCATTGCATCACAAATAATTCTGTTGGTCTCAAGACACAGCTAACACTAACTTCTTCCTCCTGCTGCGGTTCTTCCTGCGAGTGGATGGAGTGATGATCAGGATCAACGACACCCGTCTTTATCACGAGGCAAGACGCCGTTGAATGCTTTAATGTTCAAATATGATTTCAGTGGTTTCTAAACTTATTTGTTCTGCAGGCTGGATGAAACCACATGCTTCGAGAATTCAGCACACGTGAAAGTAAAATACCAGATCTTCAGGTGAGTCTGCTTTTTCTGCTTAAGAAATACTTGAGTTTCCTAATGGTTTACTCAACCTCAGGCCATCCAAAACACTCTCTCCTCAGCTGGAGAGAAATTAAAGACACAGTTCATCCAAATATATATTCTGTCATCTTTTACTCGCCCTCATGTTGTTCTAGTCCTGTATGGGTTTCTTTCTTCTGTAGCTGCTTAACAAGATAACACTCACACAGCCGTGTCCTTTACACTACAGTTTAACAGCCTTGTAGCCAAAGGAACAAAAGAGTTTTTATTGCGGTTCTAAACCTTGGGATACAAAAATGTAGACCCAATGGAAGTGGTTCGACTTCTGGAAAAAGCACATAAGAGGCCAGAGTCATTATCCTCACCCTTCGTTTAAAAATATATATTTTTTAAAGATTCCTCCAGACGGTGTTGAGGGTAAACCCTAACCCAGCGGAGGAATAAAACCGCGGACTCCTCCAGGCGGCGTAGAGGTGAAACCCTAACCCAGCGGAGAAAAAAAACTGCAAACTCCTCCAGGTGGTGTTGAGGCTAAACCCTAACCCAGCGGAGGATCGAAACCGCGTACTCCTCCAGGCGGTGTAGAGGGTAAACCCTAACCCAGCGGAGGAACGAAACCGCAGACTCCTCCAGGCGGTGTTGAGGGTAAACCCTAGTCTCAGCCTCAGACGTCACGCCCACGGAACGTTGGCTAAACGTCTGATGCATATGGTACACTTAACTGGAAACACTTCAGGAATGTCGAAGTCGTCATCTGATTGGTTTAATTTTATCGGATTTCCGGGGGGGGCGTCAGTGTCGCGTTTATTTTCGGTCCGCCGGGAAACAAAGCGCAGACGTGTGATTGTGGAAGAAAAACTGTTGTGTTTATGAGTGACAATGAGCATTAATCAAGATCAGCTAAACGTAGTTGTATGTCCCCTCCTATCGATTATGGAAGATCAAGTGAAGTGCTTAATTGCGAAGGGGATATCAGCCGCGTTTGTGGGCAAACATGAAACAACAGACGCTGACATTGCAGCTGGCCGAGATTCAGTATTCATATATAGGGCGCACACTGGATTATAAGGTGCATAAGATACTGCAGAGTCAAACGTTTGACTGCGAGTATTCAATGTGCGGCGGCTCGCTGACAGCTAATGTTACAGCTGGCTGTTTTGAATGAGACGAGCCGGTTACAGTGAACGGGGAGCGCTTTATGAACATAACTGTGACGCACGAGCAGCGCAGGGGACAGTGTGTCTGAGTGAGCGCTCGTGAGCACGTGATTTACACACATAACCTGATTTATACGAGGTTGAACTGGCCGTGTGACAAAGCGGGCATAAGATGGACATGAGCGCGAGTTCGTGGGTGAATTTAATAACGCGGACCGTTGTTAACGAGCGCCTCCGGTGACTGCTGCTGACTGACTTGTTGCACGCCGGTCTGTTGTGGGGACATTTCCACGCCCCGAAACGTGACGCTGAATGAAACGAACTGTAATTGGTTGTTTGACATGTCGGTCAAACGGCCTTATGGGCGGGCCTTGGCCAAAGAAAGCTGCTATGAATTCCAGACCTTCAGCCGTCAGTCTGAAGGTCTGGCTACGCGAGACTAGCTAAACCCTAACCCACCGGAGGAATGAAACCGCAGACTCCTCCAGGTGGTGTTAAGGCAAAACCCTAACCCAGCGGAGGAATAAAACCGCGGACTCCTCCAGGCGGTGTTGAGGGTAAACCCTAACCCAGCGGAGGAACAAAACCGCAGACTCCTCCAGGCGGTGTAGAGGTGAAACCCTAACCCAGCGGAGAAAAAAAACTGCAAACTCCTCCAGGCGGTGTTGAGGCTAAACCCTAACCCAGCGGAGGATCGAAACCGCGTACTCCTTCAGGCGGTGTAGAGGTGAAACCCTAACCCAGCGGAGGAACGAAACCGCGGACTCCTCCAGGCGGTGTTGAGGGTAAACCCTAACCCACCGGAGGAACGAAACCGCGGACTCCTCCAGGCGGTGTTGAGGGTGAACCCTAACCCACCGGAGGAACGAAACCGCGGACTCCTCCAGGTGGTGTTAATGCAAAACCCTAACCCAGTGGAGGAATAAAACCGCGGACTCCTCCAGGCGGTGTTGAGGCTAAACCCTAACCCACCGGAGGAACGAAACTGCAGACTCCTCCAGGTGGTGTTAAGGCAAAACCCTAACCCAGCGGAGGAATAAAACCGCGGACTCCTCCAGGCGGTGTTGAGGGTAAACCCTAACCCAGCGGAGGAACAAAACCGCGGACTCCTCCAGGCGGTGTAGAGGGTAAACCCTAACCCACCAGAGGAACGAAACCGCGGACTCCTCCAGGCGGTGTAGAGGGTAAACCCTAACCCACCGGAGGAACGAAACCGCGGACTCCTCCAGGCGGTGTAGAGGTGAAACCCTAACCCAGCGGAGGATCGAAACCGCGGACTCCTCCAGGCGGTGTTGAGGGTAAAACCCTAACCCAGCGGAGGAACGAAACCGCGGACTCCTCCAGGCGGTGTAGAGGTGAAACCCTAACCCAGCGGAGGAACGAAACCGCGGACTCCTCCAGGCGGTGTAGAGGTGAAACCCTAACCCAGCGGAGGAACGAAACCGTGGACTCCTCCAGGCGGTGTAGAGGTGAAACCCTAACCCAGCGGAGGAACGAAGCCGCGGACTCCTCCAGGCGGTGTTGAGGGTAAACCCTAACCCACCGGAGGAACGAAACCGCGGACTCCTCCAGGCGGTGTAGAGGGTAAACCCTAACCCACCGGAGGAACGAAACCGCGGACTCCTCCAGGCGGTGTAGAGGTGACCCAGGTGAAAAAGATGTACAATTAAGTGTATTAAAATTGTACTTAAATATGTTTTTATTACAATACAAATATAATCTAATGCATTTTGAATACATTTAATTGTACGTCTTTTTCACCTGGGGAAACCCTAACCCAGCGGAGGAACGAAACCGTGGACTCCTCCAGGCGGTGTAGAGGTGAAACCCTAACCCACCGGAGGAACGAAACCGCGGACTCCTCCAGGCGGTGTAGAGGTGAAACCCTAACCCAGCGGAGGAACGAAACCGTGGACTCCTCCAGGCTGTGTAGAGGTGAAACCCTAACCCAGCGGAGGAACGAAACCGTGGACTCCTCCAGGCGGTGTAGAGGTGAAACCCTAACCCACCGGAGGAACGAAACCGCGGACTCCTCCAGGCGGTGTAGAGGTGAAACCCTAACCCACCGGAGGAACGAAACCGCGGACTGCTCCAGGCGGTGTTGAGGGTAAACCCTAACCCACCGGAGGAACAAAACCGCGGACTCCTCCAGGCGGTGTTGAGGCTAAACCCTAACCCAGCGGAGGAACGAAACCGCGGACTCCTCCAGGCGGTGTTGAGGGTAAACCATAACCCAGCGGCGGAACGAAACCGAATATAATTTATTCAAGAGATTTGTTAAAAAATGCGGATTCATCCAGTCTTTGAGTGAGTCATTAAATCATTAATTCAACCATTTTCTTTTTTAAATTAGTTACAATTATGAAGTATTTTCTAAATAGACTGAAGCAATCAAAAAGTTTTCAGAACCACACAAATCATGGGAGAAGTGTGATCTCTGTTGTGCTCATTAACAAATGCCTCAGTTTATATGTAGCCTGCTGGTTTGTTTATGGTAATCAGCTGCAAATACATTTTACAAAAATAGACAGAATAAATATTTTCCTCCATTTTTTTACAACATTGAAATTGAAACTGGGAATCAATAAGAATCTAAATTAATAAGTGGAATCTATAACATTCAAACAATCACCAACCAGGGCGATCTCAGCATCACAATTTCTATTTACAGTGTGTTTATACAAGCGTTGACCACTGTAGCCAATCACAATCATATCTGTTAAGCATGTGATCGCAGTGGCCAATCAGAGGTGTTCATGAGAATCCGCTTAACATTGCTGGAAATGGACATGTTTTCTTATTCAACACACAAGCCTTGTAACCATCAAAGTGTAAACACAATATGAATAAGAGATCCACTGTAAAATTAAGACAGTATTTTGTCATTATAATGTGAGTTTCGTGAGAGTGCTTAAGTCTAGTGATTTATAAAGGGCGTCTCTTCTCTCGCTTTTACACATTCACAATCTGAACACTTGTGTAGTTTTTCATGCTGTAATGTTTTTGGATTGACAGCCGTATTCAATTTGAATCGTAAACTTCTATGATTGACGGTGTCTATCCGTCTGTCCATACATGCATTGCATACATAAAAAACAGTTTTTGCTATGATACCAAAATTGTTACAAAAATACATTTAAATATATATTTTTCATAACAATAAACGTAAAATTGTAACTTTTTAAAACTCTTTCCACTTCAGCAATAATCTGCCGTGCCGTGTTTGAAAAGAGATCAAACTTCAGTCGGTCGCTCAGATTTGCCAGTTTAAGATCGAAATTAAATTTCAGATCTATGCTCAAAAAGTGAATAAATAGATTATAAATATAGCCTAAATATAATTTGGTTTAAAAAAATCCCTTTAACAAAACAAATATGAAATAAAAAACAATCAAACTAAAAGGAGTGTTCACTCCAAATAATAATAATAATTCATTACATTTATATAGCGCTTTTCTTGGCACTCAAAGCGCTTTACATAGAGAGGGGAATCTCCTCAACCACCACCAAATGCAGTGTGGCCTCAACAGGTTCCTCTAAGAGCTTGATGAGCTGGTTTACAGGTTTAAAACAAGTTAATTAACACTGATTAAACTGCCAAATAGTGTGTGCCTCATTATTCTGTATTTGACGCCGATGTGTTTGTCTCTGTTGACTTTGCAGCACATTCCTCCTGCGCTTTACACAGACCCCAACGAGATCGCGCAGCATTTACCCCTGAAACTCACCGAGTGTGAGAAGCTGCAGCTCCCGGAGACGCCGGCGGGAACATCACAGTCTCCACTGCGGCGGGAGTGAACACCGGAAGTAAAGACTCGTTCACCCTCGCTATGATCACATCTGAAACTGTCCTGTAGAGTCTCATCCTGTAACTTTCATGAGGTGCAGAATGTCTGCTTTGTAATGTAATGCTTGTTTGATCTGTTTGTCATTGGAGAAGATTTTATTAAAACGCTTTAAATGATTTCACTGGATTGAGAAAATATGATGAATATGAAAATGAAGATTCTCGATGTTATGAGAAATGAAAAAGAATGACTTAAAGGTTGTATTACTAAGGAGGAACACCTAATGCTGAACCCTGTTGGAGAAGCTCGATGAGTTATGCTTTCAGAAGTATTCTCATCCTAGGGCCTCATATACTGATGCTTTTGCCAAAGCGTACACATCCAACGCACATGGCCCCCTTTAGCGTCAATATAACACGCTTTGGTTATGGGTAGGTTTAGACCACTAGGAGGCGCCTTCTGGCCAATATATATCTGCGTCTCATATTGACGCTAAAGGGTGTGTTGGATGCATAGCTGTCAACCCTCCTGTTTTTTCCGGGTTTCTCACGTATTTTAGCTCTTTTCCCGCTGTCTTCCCGTTTTAGTATTTTCCTGTAAAATATCCTGTATTTTTACGCTCTGATTGTGTGAGACGTACAAGCTCTGACAGATTCATCCTCGGATGCAGCGCCGCGCACACTGTTAAGGCCGGAGACACACTGCCTGCGTGACACTCCAGAAAACGTGTGCATGCTAGAAATAGAACTGACCCCTATTTTTCACGTAGGGGAAAAATGTGTTCAAGTGTGTTGAAAGAGTTTCCAGGCAAAAAATAAAATAAAAATAAAAATAGGACATGCTGTTTGTCATTTTGTATACGAATACATATTAATAAATTACATTTTGATGTTTGAAAGTGTAGGTTTTGACAAATTCAGATATCAATGTAATTTTTTAATAATAATAATAATAATTCATTACATTTATATAGCGCTTTTCTCGGCACTCAACATAGAGAGGGGGATCTCCTCAACCACCACCAGTGTGCAGCTCCACCTGGATGATGATGCGACGGCTGCCATACTGCGCCAGAACGCTCACCACACACCAGCTTACTGGTGGAGAGGAGACAGTGATGAAGCCAATTGGTATAGATGGGGATGATTAGGAGGCCATGATGGACAGAGGCCACTGGGCAAATTTGGCCAGGATGCCGGGGTTACACCCTTACTCTTTCCAAAGACATCCTGGGATATTTAATGACCACAGAAAGTCAGGACCTCGGTTTAACGTCTCATCCGAAGGACGGTGCTCTTTGACAGTATAGTGTCCCCATTACTATACTGGGGCATTAGGACCCACACAGACCACAGGGTGAGCGCCCCCTGCTGGCCTCACTAACACCTCTTCCAGCAGCAACCTGGCTTTCTGAGAAGGTCTCCCATCCAGGTACTAACCAGGCAGCCTCAGCCCTGCTTAGCTTCAGTGGGCAACCAGTCTTGGGCTACAGGGTGATAGAGCTGCTGGCATATTTAAACAAATAATAGCTAATATGAATACTAATTATCGATTTTCAAATATTGCCATTATTTTTGCTTATATATAATTCATGTCATTTCTATTTTTTTTACAATCGAGTCCTGGTGCTCGTTATTGAAGGGAAGCGCGCTCGTTATTGAAGGGGAGCGCGCTCGTTATTGAAGGGAAGCGCGCTCGTTATTGAAGGGGAGCGTGCTCGTTATTGAAGGGGAGCGCGCTCGTTATTGAAGGGGAGCGTGCTCGTTATTGAAGGGAAGCGCGCTCGTTATTGAAGGGGAGCGTGCTCGTTATTGAAGGGGAGCGCGCTCGTTATTGAAGGGAAGCGCGCTCGTTATTGAAGGGGAGCGCGCTCGGTTATTGAAGGGGAGCGTGCTCGTTATTGAAGGGGAGCGCGCTCGTTATTGAAGGGGAGCGTGCTCGTTATTGAAGGGGAGCGTGCTCGTTATTGAAGGGAAGCGCGCTCGTTATTGAAGGGGAGCGTGCTCGTTATTGAAGGGGAGCGCGCTCGTTATTGAAGGGAAGCGCGCTCGTTATTGAAGGGGAGCGCGCTCCTTATTGAAGGGGAGCGCGCTCGTTATTGAAGGGGAGCGCGCTCGTTATTGAAGGGGAGCGCGCTCGTTATTGAAGGGGAGCGCGCTCGTTATTGAAGGGGAGCGCGCTCGTTATTGAAGGGAAGCGCGCTCGTTATTGAAGGGGAGCGCGCTCGTTATTGAAGGGGAGCGCGCTCGTTATTGAAGGGGAGCGCGCTCGTTATTGAAGGGAAGCGCGCTCGTTATTGAAGGGAAGCGCGCTCGTTATTGAAGGGAAGCGCGCTCGTTATTGAAGGGAAGCGCGCTCGTTATTGAAGGGAAGCGCGCTCGTTATTGAAGGGGAGCGTGCTCGTTATTGAAGGGAAGCGCGCTCGTTATTGAAGGGAAGCACGCTCGTTATTGAAGGGAAGCGCGCTCGTTATTGAAGGGAAGCGCGCTCGTTATTGAAGGGAAGCGCGCTCGTTATTGAAGGGGAGCGCGCTCGTTATTGAAGGGAAGCGCGCTCGTTATTGAAGGGAGCGTGCTCGTTATTGAAGGGAAGCGCGCTCGTTATTGAAGGGAAGCGCGCTCGTTATTGAAGGGGAGCGTGCTCGTAATTGAAGGGAAGCACGCTCGTTATTGAAGGGAAGCGCGCTCGTTATTGAAGGGAAGCGCGCTCGTTATTGAAGGGAAGCGTGCTCGTTATTGAAGGGAAGCGCGCTCGTTATTAAAGGGAAGCGCGCTCGTTATTGAAGGGGAGCGTGCTCGTTATTGAAGGGAAGCGCGCTCGTTATTGAAGCGACGCGCTCGTCATTTTTCTGTGGAGGAAATGCATACTAAAACGTATTTGTTGTGGAGAGCGAAGTGCATGGTTGTATAGAGCTCTCTAGATAAGCTACTGTGCATTATAAATGTCAGGAATGTATCTTTATTGACTCATTCTTTTTATAAAGATGATTTAAATGCTGAAATATGTGAGGTTTATCTTTTTATAAAAAGATTATTTGAACGTGGGCATGTTAGATAACAGGACACTTCTTTTAAAATGTGGCTGTCATCTTTAATGTTATTAACTCGGTAAATTGATTTTATTGTGGCTTGTTGAACAAGATTCTGTGTATAACCGAGATCTTTTTTGGTCACTATATTCATGAAATGAACATAATTTTCATAATGATCAACTAAAATCAACTAATTATCTGTTTTTACAGTAGCCAAATATGCAAAGTACAATTTTCTATTAAAAATAATCTCTGATTCTGTCCGTTTCTCTGACATTAAGAGTGACATAGGCCTACAAAAGCAATTTTAGGTCTAAAACAGTTTGGATAGTTATTAATATGAGAGCTGCTAGAAATGATTTAAGAGATAAGTTTTGTGTTAAGTATCTCTTGGACCCTTTCACTTTTAAAAACTCTTCCGTGACAAGAATAGTTTAACAAGTCATAACTAAAAGTGTGCCATGCATATAATTCAAGGCAATAACCAGTGTGCTCGAAGGGGGTCTCGCCCAGGGTGTAATTCAGAACCACCACTGCCACTACGAGACCAGTAACTTTCTCCAATGTTTACAGATTAAGCAGGAACCCAGTGCGCCTGAATCTCTCTCTATTTCTGTTTAATTACATGATGGAAAGTCTAAGGCCTTCAAAAGCTGTACAGAAAACCCATCTAATCTGAAGCCTATTACACGCCAAACTAAGATTGCTGTGGGGACAAAAAGTAAGACTGTTAATTTAGCACTTTTAAACATCCGATCACTTAAAAATAAATCACTTCTAGTCAACGACTTAATAACCACATACAACCTGGACTTCATGTTTCTGAATGAAACTTGGCTAGAAGACAGCTGTAGTGCAACGGTCCTAAACGAATCATCCCCTCCAAACTTTACTTATATGAGTGTCTGCAGAGCGGGTAAGAGAGGCGGGGGTTTAGCTGCTCTTTTTAAAGATGTTTATGAATGTAAGCAAATATCATTTGGGATATTTGCCCTCTTTCGAATATCTGGGTATTGTGTTAAAAGGTGCCCCTCGTATTTTACTTATCATTGTTTACAGGCCTCCAAAATACTCTCCAGCCTTTGCTAAGGACTTTACAGAACTGCTATCAACAATTGCCTCTGAGTTTGACTGTTTTGCCATTGCTGGAGATTTTAACATTCATATAGATAATGCAGAAAACAATATGGCAAAAGAAATCAAAACTGTTTTAAAAACTTTTGATCTGACTCAGCATGTACACGGTCCCACACACAATCGTGGACACACTCTAGATGTACTTATCAGTACGGGTTTAAACATCTCATCCATTGGTATTAAGTTATTATTGTTATCGATTGTTTCTTTGATATATTGATCCGCTAGAGCTGTGTCTGTCAAGAAGAGATGCTTAAATGAAAACACTGGTGTGCCATTTATGAAGGCTATATCTTTAAAACCAAGCATATCTGCCGACTGTTGATTTTCTCCTTGATTCTTTTAACTCAAAAGTTAAGAGTGTAATTGATGATATTGCTCCTGTGAAAGTCAGGAAGAATAGTTGCAGACAAAAAGCACCTTGGAGAAACAGTTTACTGTTTCAGTATAGTGCCATTTTTTTGTTACCACCAAATATTTAACATATTCTTGAAGATATCTTTAAGTCTGGTTTGAGACCCAACCTTAGGTTATCCAGGTTATACTCTGGTCTCGGTCTCGACTTGGACTCGGCTCTCTTTGGTCTCGGTCTCGACTACAACACTGTTCCAACCCACCTTTCATATGAATCCTGGCAAAGAAAGCTAATGGCAGACGAGCAGATCTGGAGACATCGTCACATCAGCCTGACTCAATGGAAAAGATAAAAAGAGCAGATAAAATACTCCCCTTTTTACATGAATCAGGTTATGGATCTTTCTCAATTTCAACATGAACACAATAGTAGTGATGTGACGTTCTTCGAAGCTTCTATCAAAGAAACGAAGCATCTCACGTGAAGCACTGTACCGAGCTTGATTCGTTTTGCCATAACCATGTGATCAGTGACGTCCGAAGCTTCGTTTCAACACACAACCACGTGACTGCTTCATATTCTAATTTAAAAATAGCGTAAGCCTCTTGCGCAGGTTTCGAGTGTCATGCGCTTCGGTAGTGAATTGAGACCGAGAATGTCTAA